GACGTTTACAACTTTTCGACAGCCGTAAACCTAAAAACCTGTTAAACAGATCATCTCCGAAGGAACTCCTTGTGTGGATTTTCAGACAATTTCATTGAAACATTTGGCTATAATTATCCACATGCCGAATATCGGGAGGCACCGTTACATGGGGGATAACGATTCTTGGACCTATATAGACAATTCTTTTCAAGGGGGTAATGCACTCACAAGGATCTCCTTTTGTGGACTTGAAGACAATTCTATTGAAAAATTTGACTGTAGTCATCAAAATACCGAATAAAATAATAAAATACTGAATAATAAAATACCGAATATCAGGGGTACCGTTACATGGCGATATACGATATCGTAGACCCATATCGAAAATTCAATTCCAGGGTTTAAGTCTCACAAAGAATTCCTTGGTGTATAGGGTGATACGATATAGTAGATCTATATAAACAAGTAACTTCGAGGGGGTAATGTACTCACAAGGAAATCCTTTTGTGCATTTTAAGACAATTCCGTTGAAAAATTTGGCTACATGAAAATACGGAATATCGGTGGAGAGTATAAAAATATTTTGTTATCTGATTTGTGTGTAGCAGCAAACGGGGTTTGATGTTGCTGTGTACAGAGGTGAGAGGGGAGAAGAGGAGGGCGATCTTGTACAGAAACATACACATACATAGAAAAACAAAGAAGGTATGAAAAAACTAAAAGAGTGCTCGGCAAGAGTAGAATCTCAAAAACGAGGAAAATATGCTTATATTTCAGCGACATTGAAAATTTTAGTTTGCTCAACTGTTTTTCTGCTCGCTCGAACTCGAGAGAGTTTCACTCATTGTGCAAATTCGAGCGAGTTTTCTGGAGGCCTGATTGGAACAATACGTCTTCTATCTCTTAACAAGATATGGACGAAAACTACAGTATTTTTTTTTTAATTTTTGGTAATTTTTTTATTGAGGAGACAATATGTTTATCATTGTATCTCTTCGAGGAAACAATAGAGAAGATTGAATATTTACGCAGCAGGTGACAGACGCTGAATTGATCTACATTCAGATAGAAGAGATTTCTGTGTGATAATCAATCTAACTCTTAAAGGGTCGATCCCTTAAATGACTTAAATGTGGATCATGCGCATATTGTATTGAATTAAAAATAGGTTATATCGGTCCACGTTTTTATAACTTCCGATTTGCGGAATTTTAAAAATTGTAGTCAATCATATACGGTATTTTCAATAAAAAAACTTACTTTCCAAATGGTGGAGTGTATTCATAGATATAACCGATCGAACGTAGTCTAGATAACTTACGCTAGTTTAGAATTTTAAAGTTTAAGATCCATAATTACCGGGATTGCCAAATTTCAAACAATATAGGTGTCAATGTAAAGCTCTCTATGGTATGATTACAATTATATCAATTCTTGTCATAGTCGTTTATTTAAAAGGCCGATTTTATAGGTAGTGATACAATCTGTTCATAGATGAAAATCTTAAACTCCATTTTGTTTTGATAGTAGTAGTGTGTATTTGGACATATCGTGTTAAAGCCACTGTTACAAACATAAATCGTAGTTAAAGAATATGTATTTCCTTATTCTGCTGGCGCGGAGATTCAAATCAGTGGCCTAAGGTTTTATAGTCGAACATGCTTTCTCTCTCTCTCTCTGCTGCCGTTACTCATTCATTACTTGCTACGATAAAAGTAAGTTATTATTTATTTATCATTACTTTTTAGCTTACTGGTAATGTATTGAGTATATCGCTGCCATTATCTTGACCTCCTGGTAATGCATCTTGAAAATGTTGACATAATAATGCAAAACGTGTAACTATCAAATTATTTCTGAAATTCGGCCCAATTAGACCTTTAGACCCTATTTTAATTTCAATAATATTAAGGACTTTGTAATTCCTCATAAATATTCTGAAGTTTCGTTGGGTACAACCTCAAAAACTTTTATTCATTTGTTTGTTATTTTCACCGGATGGTGAAATTTGCAAGCCCTACTTAAATCACGCCACTGTCATTGATCTGAACATAAAAAACAACGCAAGAACAATAAAACAACAACTTCAGCAACAATAACATCACGTCCATTTTGGCATACAGGTACACTCATACACGGACGTACACACCCAGTTAATATACATACATATGTACGCTTTGTACATGTGTAGGGATGTGTTCACATCGGAAGACAAACAAATAAAATCCATTACGGAAAGAGATTAATGTTAATACCAATTTTATAGCGAGCAATTTTACACCGCTTTACCACAACAGCAGTGGCGGTGTGTTTTTTAAAAAAGTGTGAGCAATGAATTAAATTACAGAGTTGTTTTGTTTTAAACTACTACCAGCATCGACGATACAGAGAAGGAGAGGACACGTGTACTCCTCATTCACACACACAAATCAGCATCTCCTAGAGATGCCCGCGTTGTTATCACAGCAAAATGGAAAATTTGTACATAGAAGCAAATGCTCGAGAATGACGGTTGTCTTCACTGGCCTTGAGACATTTAGAAGGAAATCCATTGACAACGTAGATAACATTTGACTTAATTTCCATTGAAGAAGACGAATATTTATCTGTTGTTGTCTTTCATACAAATACCTAGCTGTAATTCGTAAGAAGGACGGAAGGAAACAGGTGTTTACACTGATAAATTTGCAGCGTACACATACATTTTTTTAAATGGTCCATCCCACAGTAAATTGTTTATCACTCTCATAAATATTTTATGAACACAAGATAATGTTTAAATGGCTAATGTGGTAAAATATGTAGCCATGAATTTTGAAATACAAAATGAAATGAATGTTCTATGTTGGTACAACGAGCCTACACTACGGATTCGTTATGCCCTCTTTAGTGTGCCTACTGAGTGTGTACAGGGTGAGATGCAACAACTGCAACCAACTGTCATTTCTAAGCCACTCGTCCGACAGCTGTTAAAATTATTCCAGTGACAGCTCATTATATTGTTTACAAGCGTACAAAAGTATTTTGGTGAGAATTTTCCGGAAAAAAACTTATTCGTGATGGAATTCAAGCGTGATAGTGTGATTTCTTTATATTTGCCCGGAAAACCACAAGTGGCTATCTTTAGAGCACTCCAGCATTATAATGTGAATAAATCGTTTGTGTTTCGTACCATCGCTCGTTACCGTGATACTTGTAGCGAAGCCCGACGTCAAGGAAATGGACGGAAGAAAACAGCAACATCAGCAGAAATGGTTCGAAAAGTAACGAAGCGACTAGATCGAAACCCGCGTCTTAGTGGCCGAAAAATGGCTCGTGAGCTGAAGATATCGCAATATTCCATTCGGCAAATATTGAAAAATCAGATCGGGGTAAAGCAATAGAAAGAAAATAGACTCAAAAGGGCTAAAAAGTTGCTTCGCTTGGCCGAAAGTGGTGAACTGCCGAATTTGGTTTTCTCCGATGAGAAAACATTCGTTGTCCAGCACTTTGTAAACAAACAAAATTATCGTGTTTTCTTGCCATAGTGGTAAGCTGAAAATGTGCTCCTTCGGTTGGTCACCAGAACTCAAGCGCCGGCCATGGTGATGGTGTGGGCCGCCATAACAGCCAATGGTCGGTTTCCGTTCGTATTAATCGACCGTGGCATCAAAATACATGTCAAATATTATCGCGAAAATATTTTAGAGGGTGTATTAAAGCCTTGGGCACGCAAACATTTTGGCTGCAGACCTTAAACATTCCAACAGGACTCAGCACCATCGCACTCAGCACGCGCCACCCAAGAATGGTTACAAAATGAGGTTCCACGCTTTATTTCCACCATTATGACCACCAAAATCTCTCTCTTGTGTCTGGTGTATTTTGGAAAGCAAGGTTGGCACTAAAAAATACCAACGTGTCTAGTACCTTAACCAAGCGCTTAGTCGGGAATGGGCCAAAATACCGCAAAGCAACATTCGGGCAGCGTGTGACGGTTTCATTGGCCGTTTGAAGGTCATGAAAAAACCATGGCGTTTGACTTTGTTGCAGTTTTTTATCTCACCCTGTATATTACCTAATACATCTAAAATGTATATCATTGGAATAACGGTGTTAGACCCTTTGACAAAACCCGTTCCGTTTTAAAATATTCGGAGTTGATCAATTAATATATATCTGTACAAAAACAAGTTAAAAAGTATCAGTCGGTTTAGCCAACAGATGTATACCCTCAGCCAATGTTCGATTATTTAAATATGCTTTGACTTGTGTTATAATTATTCATATTTTTGACCCTCTATGGAATAGATTCCGAAGGGATGGCCCAATATTGTCCATTTGGTAATGGTACTAAATGAATATGATATAAATATTGCGAGCTGCCAGTTTTGGACAATATTGTTTACAGATAAAAATTTTGAAAATTGTGACCCTTTGTGGATGAGGAACCAGAAGGGGTTCGAAGATATATATTACCTTCACAACAGACCTTGTGATATCAAAAATGTTTGTATGTTGAGAGTTGAATGCTTATTTCGCGTTCATGGAGCGTTTTATTTTTCAAATCTTGAACCCTATGTGCGGGTGTCACCAAAATAAATGGTCCGATCTCTACCATCTTCATACCATATGAAAACATTTTAAGTCATATGCGTCAGAGTCTTTAGAAGGCCATGCCTGGCGTAAATAAGTTATTCTCAGTCTTTCAAATACATTTTTATTTTTGTTTTGAACTTGTATCCAGATTTGAATAATTTGCGGATTAAAATGGTCCCGTATTTCCATCTTTGTATTCAGAGTAGTGCTCTTAGTTCTCTTGGTATCAATTTATTCCAGAAAATCGACACTTTGCTCCGTTTATTAAATAACTATTAATGTTTATACAATATCCCATTTAAATCTTAAAAAATCCATTAAAACACGTAATTGACGTTTAAACTAATAAACCTTGAAAAGAAAAACTCCATTAAGAAGAGAAATGGGAAACCACAAATGGCGATGACCAAATAGCAATTGATTGATGCTAAATTGTTATAGTATCAACTACTAATTCCCCTCAACGATAGTGTCTCCCGTTATTCCCTTAATGAGAATCGTTCCACATTTTATTATTCCAAAGAATTGTTTACCAAAATATTAATATGCAAATCCAGCATTTTTATAAAATAAATTTCCAAAGAATAAATATTCATTAATACTTTATTTGTAAGAATTGTTTATTAAAATATTGATATGCAATTCAACATTTTATTCCAGACAAATTTCCAAAGAATTGTTTACTTAAATATTAATATTAGCCTAAAACTGTATTTTCTTTTCTGCTGCATTTCCGACAACGAAAATGCAGCAATAAACAGAATTTTAGTATATAAGCCAGTGAAAAATAAAGAAAGCAAGTTATAATTTCAAACCACACCAAACGTCTTTTTTTTAGTCAAAGTTTTTTCCGCAAATAAAAGTGGCGCAGTCGGTAGGATACCGCAAAGTCCTATCCAACGTATAAAAATAATAAAACAGATTTTATTGTGCGCGATAGAACTAGGATTTTAATCCTTAGTGCGGTATTCGAAATATCCTTTATAAGATTAAAGGATACACAAATTTTATGAAGGAAAAAAATAAAAAGGATATTAAGAAATATCCCTGTGACTAAAAAAATATTAGTGGAACCAGAAAGGATATAAAGATCTATCCTTTTGGTGAACATCCTTGTGTCAGAAGGAAACCTAGTGAAAAAAAAAAAAAAAAAAAAGGATATTAAGAAATATCCCTGTGACTAAAAAAAATATTAGTGGAACCAGAAAGGATATAAAGATCTATCCTTTTGGTGAACATCCTTGTGTCAGAAGGAAACCTAGTGAAAAAAAAAAAGGATATTCCTTCAGTGGATTATAAACTTCAAAAAAAACAACAACCATAATATAAAGACTGATTAAAACTATATTAAACAAAAAACAAGAAACCAATACAACAACAAAACAAAATAAAATTTAAAATACGGGTCTAATACAAGCAAACAACAACAAGGAGAAGTAATAAAACAACAGCAACTATTGGAGCAATATTGTAAAGAAATAACATTACCAACAAACCAATAAGGAACAGTTCATGCCGAGAACTGCACCGTGGAAGACCCTACTACTAAGAAGAAAGTAAACCTGCAATCCTTAGCACCAACAACCAAATTACAAAGTAAGACTATCTCTAGAAATCTATAATTAAGAATAACTTGTATATTTTATAAGAAAATATTTAACATACCTTTGTGAAAAAATCGTGTAGGAAAATAATTCCCTACAAGCAATTGTTGAAATTTTTTTTTTTTCCTCTCCTCCCTCTTTCCCATTTCAATGAGCGATAGTGACTCATTATCAGAGTACCCATCAGACTTTGAATACATACCAAGAAACTCTAATAACGGGTCGACAGCATTAGAACTTGACTCAGGGATTGAATCGAATGATGGATACCTGACTGACGAAAGAACAGAACATTACATTCGTGACATAAGAAGTAGCAGAAACAGACGCATTTTTAGAAAGAAACTCAGACAATATTTTAGACGTAGATAAACAAAAAAAAAAAAAAAAAAAAAAAAAAAAAAAAAAAACTAAACAGGACTATAACCCAAAATATAAAGGAAAATAAATAACTAAAATGGCAGAACAGGCCGAAAATCAGATTAATAGACTAATCATAGACCCGCTAAAATACTTAAACAACTTACCGGAGTTCTATGGGGATTCAAAAAACTTACAGACTTTTACTACCCTCGTTGACCGAATTTACCCACACTTACGCACATACGACGAATTGTCCCAATTACTTTTCTCCGACATTATAAAGTCCAAACTCAAAGGAAAAGCTAGGCAGGCAATTGAGATAAACTGCCACGCGATTTCATGGACTGACATAAAAAACATGTTGCAAAACAATTTTGGGGACAGACGTTCTAGTGAAGAACTTTTCGACGAACTAAGGAGTGTGACTTTCAGGACGAACACACTAGACTTCTATAATGACGTAAAGGACAAATTGCACAGACTAAACAACAAACTGGTAGTTATACTAGGAGAAGGTGAAGCAACTAGGCAAAGTGCGATTAATAATAAACGCACCGCTTTAAACATTTTTAAAAGCAAAATTCCAGAGCCTATGAAATCCATCCTGCTCTGTAGGAACCCAGGAGACTTGGAACAGGCCATGGACATATTATTTCAAGCCGGCTACGCATACACCGGAAACAATGAAAATAGAGCACAGACCAATGCACAATCTAGTAAACGAAGAAATTACCAACAACCATTCGTAAACCAAGGAAGAAATTACCAACAACCATTCCCAAACCAAGGAAGAAATTACCAACAACCATTCCCAAACCAAGGAAGAAATTACCAACAACCATTCCCAAACCAAGGAAGAAATCACCAACCACCATTCGCAAATCAAGGAAGAAATCACCAACCACAATTCATAAACCAAGGAAGAAATTACCAACAACCATTCCCAAACCACGAAGGAAATTTCCAAAACCCTTTCCATGCAAACAGACAAAACACTAGAAATCAGCCTGAACCCATGGAAATAGGCACAGCCGAAAATTTTCGGGACAGAGCCTCGACAGGCAATTACCATATATAATGGTAAAAACCAAGTTAGGTCATTTGAGACTGATAGTGGATACTGGAGCCACTAATTCAATTATTAATCCAGGAATTTGTCATCCGAAATGGATACACCAAATAAAACCTCTTGTTATTAAAACTCTCCAACACCAAGTTACCATAACAGAAAAGGCAGTAATTCCAGCATTTCAAGAATTTAATATAACTAATAATGCGTTAGAGTTTTATGTTTTAAAATTTCACAATCACTATGATGGATTACTAGGCAACGATATACTTAAAACATACAATACTTGCATAAATTATAAAAACAATTCCATACAAATAAACGGACAGGACATGTCAATACTTTTTGACAATAAAAATAGCGAAAATAGAGAAGAAACAAATGACAAACCAATATTTTTTGAAGAACAATATAACAAAAATTTAAGTAAAATCATGCCCACGCAGAAGGTAGGCGATGATACCAAGGATATGAAGCAATATCATAGCTTGGAACAACAAATTAGGACACAACACCTTAATTCTGAAGAGAAAAGATGTCTCTTACAGCTAATAAAAAAATACTCTTCAATCTTCTTCCAAGAAAATACTCGATTGAGTTTTACCAACGTTATAAAGCATAAAATTCGGACAACAAACAATGTTCCAATAATTAGTAAATCCTATAGATATCCTTACATACATAAAAGAGAAGTCGAAGGACAGATACAAGAAATGTTGCAAAATAATATAATAAGGCATAGCAATTCGCCTTATTCTGCCCCTATTTGGATTGTGCCAAAAAAAGCCGATGCAAGTGGGAAGAACAAATGGAGACTTGTCATTGATTACCGTAAATTAAATGAAGTTACAATCGATGATAAGTACCCCATACCTAACATTGACGAAATACTCGACAAACTGGGAAGATGCCAGTATTTTACAACACTTGACCTCGCAAAAGGATTTCATCAGATTGAAATCGAAGAGGAGGACATCCATAAAACTGCCTTCAGTGTAGAAGGAGGCCATTACGAGTTTTTACGAATGCCGTTTGGGCTAAAGACAGCCCCAGCGACATTCCAAAGGTTGATGAACTACGTCCTTAGAGACTATATCAACAAAATCTGTCTGGTTTATCTAGACGATGTGATAATATTTTCCACCTCACTGCAGGAACACATAAATTCATTAAAACTTGTTTTTAACCGTTTGCAAGAAGCCAACCTCAAGGTCCAATTGGACAAATCGGAATTTTTAAAAAAGGAAACTGAATTCCTTGGCCATGTCGTGACATTAGAAGGTATAAAACCTAACCCAAAAAAAATCGAGTGCATAGTTAACTTCCCCATCCCCAAATCACCCAAACAAATTAAACAGTTCCTAGGGTTAACTGGTTATTATCGAAAATTTATAAAAGATTATTCGCTAATAGCTAAACCCATGACAAAGTGTCTTAAAAAGGATGCCAAAATAAACATATCCAATCCAGAATATCAGGAAAGCTTTAATACGCTAAGAAACTTACTAATACACGACCCAATCCTCGCTTACCCCGACTTTACTAAGAAATTCACCCTAACAACAGACGCTAGTAATTTTGCCCTTGGAGCGATACTATCTCAAGATAACCACCCGATTTGCTATGCTAGTCGTACCCTAAATGATCACGAGATCAATTACAGTACGATAGAAAAAGAACTTCTAGCAATTATTTGGGCCACAAAATACTTTCGCCCATACCTTTTCGGACGCAAGTTCATAATCGAGACAGATCACAAACCGCTAACATGGCTCTTTTCGATTAAAGAACCCAACTCAAAACTAGTCAGATGGAGGCTCAAGTTGTCAGAATTCGATTATGAGATTAAATACAAAAAGGGAACAAAAAACAGTAATGCAGATGCATTATCAAGGATCGAAAATAAAATTGTTGAGATCAATTCATTAGAAAACATCCAACCCATTCTTAAAGAGAGCGATTCACCTATAAATTTATTTAAAAACCAACTCATCGTAAAAAAAATTCATTCCGGATCAGCAAGGATAAAAACCGAAAACATCTTTCAGAATATTAGAAAAACTGTAACAATAAAAGAACTAGATAAAGAGTATGCAATTATGATTTTAAAAACCCACTGTCACCCAACACAAATAAATGCAGTTCTGATAGACAATGAATTTTACGACACTTTCAGAGACACTTGTAGGGAATTCTTTTCAAATAATAACGGATTCAAATTAATCAGGACTTTTAAGAAACTAGACGATATAGAAGACGAACTCCAACTAACAAACATAATTGAGGAAGAACATCTAAGCAAAAATCACAGAGGAATTCAGGTAGTGTTCGAGGAACTAAAAACAAAAATTTATAACCCCAAACTTAAATTAAGGATAACCCAGTTCATTAACAATTGCGAAATATGCACATTGGAAAAGTATGACAGAAGACCACCTAGACTACCCTACAAACTAACGGAAACACCCACAAAACCCAGAGAAATATTACACTTAGACGTTTTCTATACACTAGAGAAACAACTTTACTTAACTATAATTGACAAATTTTCAAAACACGCCACAGCATACAAAATTAATGGAAGATCATGGATAGAGTTTAAATCAAAATTAATGCAATATACCAGCACATTTGGAAGAATAGAAAAAATTGTTGTCGACAACGAGTTAGGATTTAAAGCCATTCCGATTCAAGAATATTTAAGGAAAGAGAACATTAATATACACTACACATCAAACAGTAACCATACATCCAACGCAGATATCGAACGACTTCACAATACATTGAACGAACACTTAAGATTACTACGACATGACGAACAATCCAAAGACGAAACGACAGAGGAAAAAATATCACGTATCATTGGATTTTATAATAATACTATTCATAGCACCACACAAATCAAACCTATAGACTTTATAAATGGCAAAGTATATGAGGATAAATATCCCGAAATACATGATCTAATATTAAAGAAGAAAAATAACTATATTAATAAACTTAACAAAAATAGAACCGATATAGTGATAGAGGAAGGTACAAACTATATAAGAGAAATTCGAGGGGGTAAAAATCATAGGAGGTACAGAAAGATAGAATCTAAGAAAGTCGATGAAGATCATATTGAAAACACAAAAACAGGGCATAAATATTACAAAGCACATATAAGACCTCAAAAGAAATATCAAGACAAGAATAACCCAAAAATTAAAGCAAAATCTAGATAATTACCATCCCCTTTCAGATGATTAACTGGATCATAATAATGGTTGCATTTACTACAGCAACCAAGGCCCAAACCCTCGACATACAAGACTTATCGAACAATAATGGTTACATACCGATAAAAACAGGAGAGACCAATACCGTAGAACACTACATAAAAGTACTGCACATAATAAACACTACAGAATTCGAACGAACTATGGAGATAATTAAAACCAACATTGACACCCTAAAGACATCCAGTAGCGAATCAAAAACATTAATCAGTACAATAAACAAGAACTTTATGCTACTAAAAGCGAAAATAGAAAATCTTAACCCACATTTTAGAAAGAAACGGGCACTCTTAAACATTATAGGAAAAGGCTTAAAAATGATTGCAGGTACAATGGACAGCGATGATGAAGAACAAATAACTGAAGCTCTCAAATCTCTACATTCGAACGAAGAAAACTTAACTAACAAAATGAACAAACTAACTTATATAAACAATGTCATGAACTCCCAAATCCAGAACATAACTAACCATATAAACTATCAGCAAAACATTATCGGGGACTACTTAGTCAAATTCAAGAATATTATAGGGAATAAAATTTCAACGATAGAGGACGAGATAACATTTATAGAACACATATACCAGATTAACAACGACATCTCACTCCTACGGCATCACGTAGACGACATAGGACAGATTATTTTCTCCGGGAAACTGGGAATAATTCCCACAGATATTCTCACCCAAACAGAACTCGATTTAATCACAAGCTTTGACAGCTATACCAATATAAAAGTAGCCATAGCACGTAATGAAGGGAACGTTATAATAATTCTCTCTATACCACAATATTCCCAAGATTCACTATCCAAGGTAACATTCGTACCCATTCCTGACAAAAATAATAAATCCATAATGGTTAATCATTCTGATGTTCTTATAGATTTAGAAAGAAATATTTATAGCACGTATATTAAAGATAACCTAAAAAGAAATCTTATAAAAATTAATGATAATTGTTTGAACAATATACTAAACTTTGAAGAAGCTAATTGCAAAACGCAAACATTAAATACACAAGAAATTAGCGAAATAATTCCAGGAGTATTAATCCTTAAACACTTTAACAGTACGATATCACATATGTAACATATAACGGTTGAATTATTGTGGCTGATGTTGACAACAAACTTTTTGTGACAGTGGCACGCAGATACACGGCCTTATTAGCTCGCCGGTGGGGTTGGGTTCATCTACTGTCATGTTTGTAAATCCACTGAACATAATAAATACATAAAACAAATTGCGTGCACTAAAATTTTTCTTCGAGTGTACTTGTTAATGATTGAACGAAAAGATACACCATGATTTCTAAACTCGAAGATACAATTTGGTGATAAAAATTAAAATAGAGCTAGATATTTCCCAAAGGGGAAGGAGAGGAAGTAAAAAGGTAGGAGACAAACTGATGAGTGAGAAAGACGACACTACAAATGATCCAGAGCTACAGCTGTTGATGTGCTCTTGCGCCCTCCCAACCATGGTCACATTAATAACTAATCCAAACGGAGATAAAAGACATTTTAGTGACCCCCAGGACCTCATGAAGCAAGCAACTTTATACGGGGAAATCAAAAAGTTAAAAAAAAGTGATCTACTCAGAATTCATAATTAATTTTATTTTCATATTAAAGGATTTTACAAAAACAAAAAAAAAAAACAGAATCCTTAACCTTAATCATAACTAGAGTTTCAAATTAAAAATAAAATTAAATTGTAACTTAGATTTATGAAAGTACACATTTGCGAACGCCAAAAATGTAACTTGCATTGCGATGAGCTCAATATAAGTATTTGTTCTAACAATGGAAAAAATAATATCTATCAATTATGCATGCAAAAACTAAATAAACAATTTAGAATAAGAAACGTAATTTTTTATAATATAAATCCAAAAGCTGTTTATGTTTGAACCAGTTACTATTATTGCTTATCAACTTCTTACACAGCAACTCAAAATATTATGATCCCAAAGATAGTTGAGTCGAACTGATTATGACTTTCATCAATCAACAAAACCTTCTTCAGGGTATCACTTTCAAACCCGATCACAAAAATAAAAAAAAACAGAAAACAAAAATGTAAATAATGTAGCAGAGATAGATAGAAGCCAAAGAACTCAATTGGTGTATTCTTTTGCTTTATTTCTTTGACGATACCTCCATGATACCAACAGTTGTTCATAGTATGTAATCAAAACAAAAATGATAATAAAAACTTACTTGGTCATTTTGTGGCTCCCACGCAGAAAGTACTTTCGGCGAATTCAGGGTGTAATTACTGACCTTTACAGGGTAATGTTAATGATGATGTTATGCTGGCAAGAGAGGCATGTTAAGTTAACAGTATGTGATTTAGAATAAATGAGAATGTGTTCGAGATCGGTTGCTGAATATTGATGTTGATAATGAGAGTCGTCCCTGAATGGTTCTCAATTAATCATGACCAGCGTTTTTCTGTCTCATCAAAGACTATCTTCTACATCACTTACACCATGTAATAAAGAAGAATGGAATAATTTTAGTAATGATCATTAGACCATGTAAGTGAAAAAAAAACATGTGGTAATTGATGTAGATGATGATCTTTGATGGATTATAACTGTATCACTTAACAAACCAATAAATTAAACTTTTGATTTTATAAATATAAAATATAATTAAATATGAATATTTAAAGAATCACAATCACTTTAAAATTATATTCTAATTATTTTTACTGATGTGGTAGACAAATAATCTCGCGTAATTTTTCTTAATCACTGGGGTATAACACTATTAATATTGTTTGATTTGAAGTTTTCGTTTTAAAACAAATTACTTGCTTATGATTTATGTTTGATAACTGATCTCTTTACACATTTGATCCTACCATAAAAAACTTCCACCAGATTCACAAGGTGATATCTAGCTGATCTGGTTGAATATATCCCGATTCGTGCCGAAATTGGTTTTTTCTTCATATCTTGAAAACAAAGCAGTTTGTAATAATACATCAAATTTCACATTTCTCCCATATTTCTGGTTATTGATTGACACAGGGCATTTGCCCGTCTTGATGTAATCGACGCTGTTGGAGTAAAAGTTAATAATCACACTGACGCTGCGTTGCGGTTTGGGAATATGTGAGGCCGAAAAATGTGTTTTGTGAGAACAAAAGCTTTTGTTCAATAAGATCTCTTCCTTCACAAAACAATTGTTGTAATCAAATGCGAGTCTAGTAGAAAGAAATAAATGATTGAGGAGAGAAACTAAATAGGGTTTCTTAGAACTTTTAGGAAATAATGTTTGATTTACCTTCCTCTTTGACTATGGATTTTATTCCATAGGGTAATTGTTAAAGAGATTCAAAGGCTATCATCCAAATGCATAAAATTATGTGGCCACTAAATAAATTGTATGCTTTGATAAATATTATTTAATAATATTTGCAAATTTAGATTTTCTTACAGTCACACAACCAAAATTATAACCGCAACTTGAACTGATTTAATGACTTTCTGAAGGTGAACAAGGTTATTTTTAGAAATTTTTGGATGAACTATATTCTTCCTCTTAAGGGTTAGATGACAAAATGGACGATTCTATCTAATCTTTATCAGCTTGAACCCTCGGCAATTACAAATGCTAGCGAGTTAATTCCAGTATTTGAGTAAAAATGTAGCACACAAATAGTAGCGAGAAACGAATGCGCTTATGGATAAAGTGTTGCCTTATAACAACTTCATATCCAGGTGGCATTTCAAAATACGTTACAGTAGGTATTTTTAAGTTTGGTTTTAATTCCAAAAAAAAACAAAAGAATGAAGAAACAATCCAGTAGGGCAAGCGCCACTACAACACCCCCCTGGCAAGATCAGACTTTGGGGAATAGACTTGTCCAACAAAGCTGATTCCGCTTGCCCTTAAAGAGGACTCATTGGCGTATATCCTTAGCGTGGTAGACTCCTATTAAATTACCGCTCAAATCTTCCAGCTCGTAATTACAGTTTCCGATTTTACGCCGAACTCTGGCCTTTATAAAAGTAGGCGCCAACTTCGAGTTAAAACCTTGGGCGAAGTTACTTTGCTTGAAGTTGCGTCGGAAAACTTCTTGGCCTTCTCTGTAGGACACCTCCCGTGATCGGAGATTATAAGTCCGCTCATTACGCTCATGTTGTTTTTGCATATGCTTCCTGGCACGGTCACCCATTAAGGCAAGAGAATCGTTTTTGTCAAATCGAACTGACCTATCTTCAAGTACCTCCAGCTGGCGTAATAAAGGGTACGTCGAGGCATTCGTCACCATTGACTGGCCAAAGGCTAGGTAGTATGGAGAGGTTCCGATGGCAGCGTGATTAGAAGATCTTAGGGAACAAGCAATGCTACTTAACAGTTCGTCCCAGTTCTTCTGATCCGTATGAATATATGATTTTATGGCAGATAGTATTGATCTATTGACACGCTCCGAGGCGTTAGCCTGCGGAGCATGTGATGCTGTAAATATATGCCGTACCCCGTAACGTTTTAAAAACTGGCCAAAGTGATGAGAGCGAAATTGCGACCCATTATCCGATACCAACAACTCTGGAACGCCAAAAGTATGAAATAAATCCTGCTCTAGGTACTGTACCACAATATCCGACGAGAATTTCTTAACGGCCTTGAGGTAAGGGAACTTCGAAAAGTGGTCAAGAACGACAAAGATCCCAATGTTGCCAGAACGGGACCTAGGATATGGTCCCAGAAAGTCAACGTAAATTTTTTGGAAAAAGCGTTGGGTTTCGGTTGTCTTCCCCATTGGTGGTCTAAGAGAAGTGTTCGGGTGCTTTGAGGACTTGCATATCTCACAATTGTTGACGTAATCTCGTACGTCAACTACTAGGTTTGGCCAAAAATAAAACTTCCTAATCCGGCACAGTGTTTTGTTTATACCACCGTGAGATGCCAAAGGGTCATCATGAGCCCTACGCAGGACCTCGGGAACAAGATCCTTCGGAATCCAAAGTTTCCAGCATAAATCATCAACGGTTTGGTCGCCAGAGGCATGCTCGGTTCGCCGATAAACATAACCATCAATGACTTTTAAATCCGGTATTTGTGACGAATTCTCCTCTATTTTTTTTAGAAGCTGGGAATACTCTTTAGATTTGAAACAAGCTGAATTTAAGTCCACGAACATTCCGGACTGGTCTTCTAAGGAAAACAAACTACCTATCTCCAGCTCAGACAGGTCATCAGAATTGGCCCTGGAGAGAGTATCCGGTACTACATTAAGATTGCCACGCCTATGTTCAATTTTAAACTTATACCCCTGAAGCTTTAGGGCCCACCGAGCTAGCCGTGTGCTTAAGTCCGTCTGGGACATGAGCCACTTCAAAGACGCATGGTCAGTGATGACAGTGAACTCATGCCCCTCAACATAAGCTCTAAACTTCTTGATGCTCAGCATTGCTGCCAAGCATTCTTGTTCGGTGACAGAGTAATTACGTTGGGCTTGATTGAGCTTCTTCGACATAAAGGCGATAGGAACCTCTTCACCCTCCGCATCTTTCTGCACCAAAACACCTCCTATACCAGTTCTACTTGCATCACAGTGTATAAAGAACGGCTGTGAGAAGTTTGGACTATGTAGAACTGGAGCGGTGCTCAAGTGGGTCTTTAAAGTCTCAAAGGCGGTTTGGGCCTCTTCGGACCATACAAATTTGCGCTTAGTTTTAGTTAGGTCAGTTAAGGGTGTGGCAATAGTAGCGTAGCCCCGGATAAATTTCCGGTACCAACCCGTCATACCCAAAAATCGACGGACCTGCTTAATAGATCGAGGTACCGGGAACTCAGAAATAGCGGATACCTTTTCAGGATCCGTCCGTATAACGCCACCTCCTACCAGGTGTCCAAGATATTTTACCTCTTCAACGCAGAAATTAGATTTTTCAATATTAATAGTCAAACCTGACTCTCTGATCCTCTGAGCAACCAACCTTAGAACCTCAAGATGCCTCTCAAATGATTCCGAAACTACCAGCAAATCGTCCAAATAAACAAACACCTCCGTCCTGAGAGCCGGGGGTATCACTCTGTCCATTAATCTGGACATAGTTTGTGGGGCATTACAAAGCCCGAATGGCATCACTGTATAGTGATACAGCGGCCTCCCAGGAACGGTGAATGCTGTCTTTTCTTTCGATTGTTGGTCAAGAGGAATCTGCCAAAAGGCATCTTTGAGGTCCAAGGCGGTAATAAAACTAGCTTTGGGCAGTCTACTGAGTATGCCGTCAATGTGTGGCAGCGGGTAAGCATCACCCACTGTGACGGAGTTAAGTTTACGGCTGTCCAAGCAAAGACGGTTCTTTCCGGGTTTGCGATGGAGGACAACAGGTGAGGACCAAGGGCTATTGGATTCCTCAATAACGCCTAGTTCCAACATCCTGTCTAATTCGCTATAAATCAGTTTTTCAACTGCAGGTGACACAGGGAAATGTCTTTGTTTAATGGGCTTGACAGAACCAGTGTCAATTGAATGGCACAAAACACTAGTCCTGCCAAGTCCTTCCTTGGAAAATGAAGGAAACAATCTTACAACCTGTTCGAGACGTTGAAGTTCAATAGGTGAAAGTGAAACTTTAGTGGATACAGTGGAGACATATGACAAGTTGTCGGAAAGGTAATTACCCTTCACTAAACCTTTGGGAAGCAAATCAAATAACTCCCAAAAATCTACACCCAAAAACAATTCTTTATCCAGACTGGGAATTATGAAAATAGTGATCAACTTGTCAATGCCCTTAAAAGTTATGTTCTCTTTAATAAAACCTACAACCTCCTGGCTACTTCCATCTGCAGTTCTCACAATAGAACTGATTCTTTTAAATGGTTTACCAGAACGTAGAAACTCTTCAGCTGCTTTGCCACCAAGGCAACTTAAAGAGGCTCCTGTGTCCATTAGCCCTAACATTTTTCTTCCGAACAAGGTAACCTCAGCGTAAGGACGAACATCTGAGGGTCTATCGAACACCGAACTCACGAATTGTTTCCTCATATTACGCACACTCTTCCAGAAGGACCTCATCCGCTCTGCCGATCTCGAAGTTCTGACATTTTCCCCAAATATTCTATCTCTTGCCTTGTAGTATTCTCGTAAACGTATATGTAGTGGTTTTATAACGAACTTATTGGTATTAGGTATGTCTGTATCTAAAGTGGGTGTTTTTGAATCTATATCGGATTCGGGATTATTAAAGGCATGCCTTTTTAAAATATTTATTCGAGGTCCAATTCCTGAACCTTCCCTTGATTCTGTGCACTCAGATGTGCACCTACTCTCTCGTTTTTTGAACTGCATTTCCTACAGTTGGGTTTATAAACATCGGGGGTGCCGCATCCATAACAGAATATGGTTCTGTTGGACAAACAATCCTGATAGCGGTGACCCTCCTTTCTGCAGTTCCAGCAGACCAAGCCGAAAGCAAAGATCTCCTCGCCTCCATGTATGGATTGATTAACCTCATCCTGATCTACAACTTCGTTAACCTCGGAGACTCTTTTGGAAAATACAGGGGGTTTTGAAACAAAGGAGCCATGCTTTCGACGTATATCCTGTAAAAAGAATTCCCGTCTCCGGCATATATCTCTTAAATCCTGAAGGGATGAAATCTTGAGATTCAAGATTTCATGCTGGATCTCAGGCAGCAAATTTCTTCTGAGGATCTCAACAAGGGTGTCTTCAGTAAGTGGCTCTTTAAGACGATCTGTCAGCTCCACGACAGATTCGTAAAAAGTATCAAAATTCTCGCTATTCCTCTGCTTTCTGTCGCGAATTAATTCACGAATATCCACGTCAGTTCGTGAATCTCCATATTGCTTCCTTAAGCCACTACATAAATCTTGCCAAGATAGATTTCTCACTGAACGATGGTATCGCCAGAACCAATCTGCCGCTTTACCATCGAACAGGAGGCTGGCATTTCTACATAAAAGATCGTAGTTGCCCTGCAACGTCTGCACCGTAAGAGCCTCGACGCGGTAAATGAAATTTTCTATTGATAACCCGCTGGAACTACCCGAAAATTTCAGCTTCCAGTTGGTTATTATATGGAGTACCTTATCGGGCCTAGAGGTTAGATCCGAAGAGGATGACACGTTTGACAGAGTGGTCTCTGCTAATGGATCTCTCCGAATACTATTCGACCTAGTTGGATTCCCAGAGTTGTAAACCGGAATACCTAACAAATCCCTAAGTGCGAGCTGATCAACAGGAGGAATTTGAGGAGGAGTGTATTGAGTATGAGCATGCGATGTCGTAGGTGTTCTATGTGGTTCCTGAACGCTTAAGCGAGACAAACCAGCTTCAATGTTCGTTTGCACAAGCTTGGCCACTTGACTACTAAAGGCAGAAAACAATTGCATTTGCTGAGCTGCAACTCTACTCATTATCATCTCTGTAAGACTGTCGGGATCTACACTAGCATGATCACTACCACCACAGGCACCACTAGATCCACCGACAGCACCACTAGATCCACCGACAGCACCACTAGATCCACTTTGGGATATCGCAGTGCTACCTGAAGCTTTAGGCGCATGCTGAGCACTAGCTGATTGCTTAGATTGAGATCTAGTTTTCGCACCTGAGGGTGTTGGGGGTGGTTCACTAAATAGGCGTGTGTTGCACGTTGGACAGTATGGTCTCAACTTTAGGCACTTTTCTAAGCACGACTTGTGAAAGCAATGTCCACAATTGGTACGTCTACCCTGAGCGGCATCAGAGAAACTCTGTCCGCATACCCCACATGCAGGATTGTCGGAGACCTCATTGTTAAATTCACCCAGAGCAGATTCTAAGGACATTTTCGAAGCTTTCGAACCAATACAACAACGGAAAGGATATAAGTATGTAAATCCCTAAGAACCAAAACAGAATAATCAAAATTTCGGATTCGAATGATATTACGCCAAAAGATCCCGTAATAGTGGAATATGATTATGTATTTCAGATCCAATGGAAAAAGAACAAAATAAAATTTCGGTGTTCAACAATAGTTTCGAAATTGAGTTTCAAAGATTTCAAACGATAGCAAAATGAATACTGAATTTGATAATAATTTAATAAGTTTAAATAAGTTAATGTAATTTATTTGTTGTAGGAAAATCGGATGGCCAAAATTTTCAATTTATTTATAACTTTTTGATTCTTCCCCATAATAAAAGTGCTTGCTACCAAAGATCGATCATTTAAAGTTTATAGAATAAGAAAAAAATACAGAACAGGTGATATTTATTACTCCGTGGTATAGGTCAACGCTTCTATAAATCCACGGAAGTATACAAGAGAGAATTCTGATTGACTTGTTTTATATCTTGGCCAGATCTAGTTTATGGTAATACCCAGAATCCGTATTCCAAAAGATGCAAACTAGTACAAACAAGAAATTCCAAAAACAAATATAGACGAAAATTTTCTAATTATTGGTTGTTAGAGGATATCTGGGACCAAAAACAAAATCCAATTAATTTGAAAAATTTTCTTGGAAAGGAAAAGCTAAAAGATAAGGAAAGATAGTAAACAGACATAAAAAAGTATATTGAAAATAGTTTGAGGCCGAACATGGGTTTTAGGTACAAGAACTGCACTCTAAATGATAGATTTTTTTGATAGTATATTGATGTTCGGGCCCCACGTTGGGCGCCATTTTATTTATTATGTAACATATAACGGTTGAATTATTGTGGCTGATGTTGACAACAAACTTTTTGTGACAGTGGCACGCAGATACACGGCCTTATTAGCTCGCCGGTGGGGTTGGGTTCATCTACTGTCATGTTTGTAAATCCACTGAACATAATAAATACATAAAACAAATTGCGTGCACTAAAATTTTTCTTCGAGTGTACTTGTTAATGATTGAACGAAAAGATACACCATGATTTCTAAACTCGAAGATACAATTTGGTGATAAAAATTAAAATAGAGCTAGATATTTCCCAAAGGGGAAGGAGAGGAAGTAAAAAGGTAGGAGACAAACTGATGAGTGAGAAAGACGACACTACAAATGATCCAGAGCTACAGCTGTTGATGTGCTCTTGCGCCCTCCCAACCATGGTCACATTAATAACTAATCCAAACGGAGATAAAAGACATTTTAGTGACCCCCAGGACCTCATGAAGCAAGCAACTTTATACGGGGAAATCAAAAAGTTAAAAAAAAGTGATCTACTCAGAATTCATAATTAATTTTATTTTCATATTAAAGGATTTTACAAAAACAAAAAAAAAAAACAGAATCCTTAACCTTAATCATAACTAGAGTTTCAAATTAAAAATAAAATTAAATTGTAACTTAGATTTATGAAAGTACACATTTGCGAACGCCAAAAATGTAACTTGCATTGCGATGAGCTCAATATAAGTATTTGTTCTAACAATGGAAAAAATAATATCTATCAATTATGCATGCAAAAACTAAATAAACAATTTAGAATAAGAAACGTAATTTTTTATAATATAAATCCAAAAGCTGTTTATGTTTGAACCAGTTACTATTATTGCTTATCAACTTCTTACACAGCAACTCAAAATATTATGATCCCAAAGATAGTTGAGTCGAACTGATTATGACTTTCATCAATCAACAAAACCTTCTTCAGGGTATCACTTTCAAACCCGATCACAAAAATAAAAAAAAACAGAAAACAAAAATGTAAATAATGTAGCAGAGATAGATAGAAGCCAAAGAACTCAATTGGTGTATTCTTTTGCTTTATTTCTTTGACGATACCTCCATGATACCAACAGTTGTTCATAGTATGTAATCAAAACAAAAATGATAATAAAAACTTACTTGGTCATTTTGTGGCTCCCACGCAGAAAGTACTTTCGGCGAATTCAGGGTGTAATTACTGACCTTTACAGGGTAATGTTAATGATGATGTTATGCTGGCAAGAGAGGCATGTTAAGTTAACAGTATGTGATTTAGAATAAATGAGAATGTGTTCGAGATCGGTTGCTGAATATTGATGTTGATAATGAGAGTCGTCCCTGAATGGTTCTCAATTAATCATGACCAGCGTTTTTCTGTCTCATCAAAGACTATCTTCTACATCACTTACACCATGTAATAAAGAAGAATGGAATAATTTTAGTAATGATCATTAGACCATGTAAGTGAAAAAAAAACATGTGGTAATTGATGTAGATGATGATCTTTGATGGATTATAACTGTATCACTTAACAAACCAATAAATTAAACTTTTGATTTTATAAATATAAAATATAATTAAATATGAATATTTAAAGAATCACAATCACTTTAAAATTATATTCTAATTATTTTTACTGATGTGGTAGACAAATAATCTCGCGTAATTTTTCTTAATCACTGGGGTATAACACTATTAATATTGTTTGATTTGAAGTTTTCGTTTTAAAACAAATTAATTGCTTATGATTTATGTTTGATAACTGATCTCTTTACACATTTGATCCTACCATAAAAAACTTCCACCAGATTCACAAGGTGATATCTAGCTGATCTGGTTGAATATATCCCGATTCGTGCCGAAATTGGTTTTTTCTTCATATCTTGAAAACAAAGCAGTTTGTAATAATACATCAAATTTCACATTTCTCCCATATTTCTGGTTATTGATTGACACAGGGCATTTGCCCGTCTTGATGTAATCGACGCTGTTGGAGTAAAAGTTAATAATCACACTGACGCTGCGTTGCGGTTTGGGAATATGTGAGGCCGAAAAATGTGTTTTGTGAGAACAAAAGCTTTTGTTCAATAAGATCTCTTCCTTCACAAAACAATTGTTGTAATCAAATGCGAGTCTAGTAGAAAGAAATAAATGATTGAGGAGAGAAACTAAATAGGGTTTCTTAGAACTTTTAGGAAATAATGTTTGATTTACCTTCCTCTTTGACTATGGATTTTATTCCATAGGGTAATTGTTAAAGAGATTCAAAGGCTATCATCCAAATGCATAAAATTATGTGGCCACTAAATAAATTGTATGCTTTGATAAATATTATTTAATAATATTTGCAAATTTAGATTTTCTTACAGTCACACAACCAAAATTATAACCGCAACTTGAACTGATTTAATGACTTTCTGAAGGTGAACAAGGTTATTTTTAGAAATTTTTGGATGAACTATATTCTTCCTCTTAAGGGTTAGATGACAAAATGGACGATTCTATCTAATCTTTATCAGCTTGAACCCTCGGCAATTACAAATGCTAGCGAGTTAATTCCAGTATTTGAGTAAAAATGTAGCACACAAATAGTAGCGAGAAACGAATGCGCTTATGGATAAAGTGTTGCCTTATAACAACTTCATATCCAGGTGGCATTTCAAAATACGTTACAGTAGGTATTTTTAAGTTTGGTTTTAATTCCAAAAAAAAACAAAAGAATGAAGAAACAATCCAGTAGGGCAAGCGCCACTACACATAATTGTAACAAAGATAAATTAAAAATTTCAGGAAATTACTTAATCAAATTCGAAAATTGTGAAGTAAACACGTTAAACAAAACCTTTACGAATTTTAAAATAAAAATACAAGACAAGTTTATCCTACCTAACCTTACAACAAAAATTAAAGATACCAGTAACACAACACTTGCAGACATAAAACTTGAAAATTTATATCTAAAACAAATAGAATACGAGGAAACACTGAAACAAGTACTATATACAGATAAAAACTCAAAAATAATTGGCTATAGTATAGATATTTTAATCGGTACATCAATATGTATCTTAATTATATTTATATATCTCTTTAAGAATAAACAAACCTATGTTCCAAATGTACAATTAAAAAACCAAACTATTATAAACAATCCGGCAAAGATAATATAATTTCGTCGGAGCCTCAAACTAAGGGTGGGGGTGTTATAGTATCAACTACTAATTCCCCTCAACGATAGTGTCTCCCGTTATTCCCTTAATGAGAATCGTTCCACATTTTATTATTCCAAAGAATTGTTTACCAAAATATTAATATGCAAATCCAGCATTTTTATAAAATAAATTTCCAAAGAATAAATATTCATTAATACTTTATTTGTAAGAATTGTTTATTAAAATATTGATATGCAATTCAACATTTTATTCCAGACAAATTTCCAAAGAATTGTTTACTTAAATATTAATATTAGCCTAAAACTGTATTTTCTTTTCTGCTGCATTTCCGACAACGAAAATGCAGCAATAAACAGAATTTTAGTATATAAGCCAGTGAAAAATAAAGAAAGCAAGTTATAATTTCAAACCACACCAAACGTCTTTTTTTTAGTCAAAGTTTTTTCCGCAAATAAAAGTCTAAATCTCACTTCAGTCTCCCTAAAGGAGAATGAGAAGATAAATTATATTAAAAAAAAATAAATAAAAATAAATCATCTTCGGTTTTTTCTTTCCTCCATAAAATCAATCAATAATTTTCACAGCCGCACACATACACACATAAATACAGATTTTATATCAAACTCTCCCACACCATCATTTTGTGTGTGTACGAAATATTGGTCACGTTGGTTTCGGTGTCTCTTTTTCTCTATTTTTCGTTTACTCTTTTTTCTCTAGCCAGATTTCTCTGGTTATTCGTTTGCCAGCCATTTGGTGGTGTGCACAACAAAATAAATTCCAACAGATGTTCAGTAAAGTAAGTTAAAGGCAAAAAATCAGCTGTTTCTGAATAACAACACACACCAATGGGGGGTTGGACAAGATGAAAAACATTGGCATTGCGTTTGCTGCGCTGCCAGCGTTCGCAGCACAGTAACAGAACAGCTGACTGCCAAAGTGATTGGAATTAAGAGAATGAGAATTTGTACACAGAGAAGAACAGAGAGATAGAGAGTACACTTGTGAAAAAATAACAGTAATGCCAAGTAAACAAAAAATTCTCTCAGTAGTTTTGTATATTGGAAAAGGAAAAAGAGAAGAAGAAAACCTGAAACTAACAGCTGTTACATTGTTTACATTTACAATGGCACTAACACACAAATAAACTTACGGCGAATTTTGTCTACCAAGTTACCCCTTAATTGATTTGCCTACAACAATCACACACGCACACACTCTAACGCGATTTGTGTATAACTGCTGCTAAGATTCACAAAATTTATACACTGTACCCAAAGAGGATAAAGCTCGTAGATTGGCCACTCCATAATATAATATTTTACAGACACGTAAAAATAAATTTAATATACCTCTATCTATAGGTACATTACACAAATCTGTAAACACTAATGTATATTTTTGCGAGAAACTCCTCAATATGAACACCACCACTATAAAAAAAAACAACAAACATATTTCATAGGATGAATTTACATCCAACGGGATCCAAAAAATAACGAATTACATCCCAGATCGGGTCAGGAACCGGATATTAGAAAAATTCGCAAAATAGGGCTGTACCAAATAGTGAATTCATATTGAAAATACAGCAACCAACTTCAGACTGCTGTCATTTCTAAGCTACTCATCCGACATTGTTAACAAGCGTACAAAAGCATTTTGGTGAGAATTCTCCTGAAAAAAAGTTATTCGTGATGGAATTCAAGCGTGATAGTGTGATTTCTTTATACAGGGTTGCCCATATTCGACGGACCTTTGCGCTCTTTGGGCAATTCCAATCGACGAGGTTTGTCCGCAGGCAACATTCTTTGCGTCAATTGAATTTTGAACGGGAACAAATGCAAATCAATGCGAATAATCCGTTGTAAAGTGGACCGAGCCATGCCCAACTGCTGAGAACGGCGTTTTTGGGATGTTCTTGGGGACCTCTCAACACTGGCTCGTACGGCAGCGATATTCTCGGCCGATCGTCTTGGTCGACTTTTATATGGCCTCTTCGGATTAGAAAGAGTCTTACCAGTCGAAAATTTTTCGTATAAACGCTTAATGGTGTTCTTAGAAGGCGCACTTCTCACATTTTTTAATGTTTTAAAAGCACGTTGAGTTTTCACGCGCTCGCGCGGCTTGTATTGGTTCATGGTAAAAATCTGCTTGGACTGACGCTTCAAACGCGGTATGTCATTAAGCGATGTGACATCTCTGTCAAAAGTTATGGCGTTGCCAGGTGGGTCCGTCGAAAATCGGCAACCCTGTATTTGGCTGGAAAACTACAACTGGCTATGTTTAGAGCACTCCAGCATTACAATGTGAATAAATCGTTTGTGTGATACCGTGATACTGGTAAGCCCGAAGTCAAGGAAGTGGACGGAAGAAAACAGCAACATCAGCAGAAATGGTTCGAAAAGTAAAGAAGCGACTGGATTGAAACCCGCGTCGCAGTGGTCGAAAAATGGCTCGTGAGCTGAACATATCGCAATATTCCATTCGGCAAATATTGAAAAAATGAGCTCGGGGTAAAGCCATTGAAATTACAAAAAGTGCAAGAACACCGCAACAGAAAGAAATTAGACTCAAAAGACCTAAAGAGTTGCTTCGATTGGCCGAAAGTTGTGAACTGTCGAATTTGGTTTTCTCCGATGAGAAAACATTCGTTGTCCAGCAGTTTGTAAACAAGCAAAATTATCGTGTTTACTTGCCAAAGATTTCACCAGAACTCAAGCGCCGGTCATGGTGATGGTGTGGGCCGCCACAACAGCCGATGGTCGCTCTCCGCTCGTATTAATCGACCGTGGCATCAGAATGAATGCCGAATATTATCGCGAAAATATTCTGGAGGGTGTAATCAAGCCTTGGGCATGCAAAACTTTTGGCCGCATACCTTTGACATTACAACATGAATGCACAAGCCATCCTAGAATGTTTACAAAATGAGGTTCCTCGCTTCATTTCCATCGCACAATAGCCACCAAAATCTCGGGATACCAATCCTTTGGAATATTGTGTCTGGAGTATTTTGGAAAGCAAGGTTGGCACTAAAAATACCAAAGTGTCGATCACCTCAAGCAAGCGCTTCGCAGAGAATAGACCAATATACCGCAGAGCAACATTCAGGCAGCGTGTGACAGTTTCATTGGCCGTCTGAAGGCCATAATTCGTGCCAAAGGTGACCAATTCGAACAAATCTAAACTTATTCTAAAATTTGATTCTATTTCCGACATTTTCAGCTCTTATTCAATAAAATTAAAAAAAATAAAAATTATGGCGTTTGGCTTTCTTGCAGTTTTTTTTATCTCATCCGTCCGATTTGCCTTTTATTGTAATATCAGCCCAAATAGTATGAATTTTTGCACATACAACCGAATTAAGCATGGAAATAAGTATGCCAAATTTGATCGGATATCAGATTTAGCTATAGCTCCCATATTCAAAGACATAGAAGTATAAAGATGGGACAAGACAGAGTCAAAATATGGCAACCCTGTGAAAATACCTCTGTTGTTATGATATGATAACAACATAGTTAGCAATGTCAAGCGATTTAAACCGCTTAGGAAATATGTAATTAATTGTGAAAGTCGATGGAATAGAATTTTGAAATCCTATTTTTGGAATTTTCAAACTTTTATTTGTCATTTTTCTCCATAAATGTGGTTTTTATATTAACTTGCTCCTGTCATGAACTGTTATTCTAGGTAGTATAGACACAAACCATCTACTCAGAATGCATTTTGTCTAGTCTTTACCATTTTAGGTCTTTGCCATATTCATCTGATTTGATATTTTTGTCCTCCGCAGCCATAATATGCACTCTGTAACAACGATATTTGGGGAAATATATGAAATACAGCACAGACATGCCTTTCCTAAATTTTAGATTATTTGTTATATGAAGAAGCTCTACTAAATATGCAGAGAGGTGTGGGGTATCATAAAATTAGCCCCGCCTGACCATTCGACTTTTTTACTGGTTTTTCCTTATCCACATTTTTTCTAGTAGAAAGTTGCAAAAAATTTACTAGATCCTCAAACCTGTGTCAGAAGCTATTGTCTCTGTACCTAATACATCCATTTTATAACTGAATTATTCGAAAACGGTAACTCTGAAGAAGATGACCCTTCTAGTCTTGTCTTGGTTTATACTCCTTTTCTTGGTGGCATTGTATATTTGTTTGCAGTTATTGTTGTTGGTGCTGGTGTTTACCCTATTTTGCATCCTCCCAGGACCTTGTGTACAAATGCCCATCAGCAGCATGCATAGTGTCCTCCTTCGTAGTCATCGTTCTTTTTTTTCTTTTCTTCTTCCATTTTTCCGTTTTTTGTGTATGTTTATGATTGTGTTAAACTATCTCTGCATGCATCGTTTCAATTCCTTTCGCATTTACATTCATTTCAGCAGTCCAGTTAAGTTCCAAGAAGCCATAAACATAACGACGAAATGGACACAAACAAAACATCATGGGCAAGGATACATGCTGTAGCTATGGATGTGGGGGGGCAAGAAATTTCCTTGGCTTTTAGTAGGCCACAAAGGAATTGGGCAGAGAGTATATATGTGCATACATACATATA